TTACCAACCTGAAGAGTGTTGTGGATGCTTTGTCATTTCTGCACCAAAGAAAGTCTTAAACCTCACACAAATCACAATCACCAATCTTAGATTGTGCCACAAGGGTCTCTGGTTTGGACTCTTCACATATAATCTAATCTTAAGCAAATGGATCAAATCCTTTCTTTGATTGGTTTGTGAATAGAACCAATTTTAACTTCTAGTTCTGTCTTAACATCATCTTTTCTCACGCCTTTTCGTCATCATAGCTTTCCTTATTCGTAAAAATCTAATCCGAAAAATATTGCTTTCACCGTCTAAATGTCATTTCTTCATTAGCTAAACTACTTTTATATTGCTCTTGTGTCACTATCAATGAAGGCAACATTTTCAGTTCACCACAACTTTGTGATTACTCATAGTCTCCGTGTGTAGCGTGTTGGATGTCACTCTCAAGATGCAAAATCTCTTCTCTTTTACGGGTTTATACCTTCCTCTTTGTTTGCTCATCCCGATTTGTTCAGCACTTGCATTGTTTGATCTTTTTCGCTTTTGCACCTACCTTATGATCATCACATCTTGCTTGTCCTATAGCATATTCTTTTGCCTAGTAATGTCGTTAAGACAAAGATACAGTATCGACACTGACAAGTTAAAAGACAAGTATGAAGCTTCAAGCAATAAAAGTTCAAATATTCTGTCAAACCAATTAAAAAAAACTTGAAGATTTATTTGTTCTTTTGATCATATGTGAATATTGTTCTATGATCCTGGATAGCTTGATTTTTGCCGAGGATAGTTCTAAATATGTGCCCAAAAAATTTGTTTTTCACTGCATAAGATTATTTTGTTTCTCTTAGCTCATCACTTCTTTCTAAGATTGGCATAAAGACACAAATGTGATGGGCTTGTTGACCTTTGTTGTTTGATGTTGATGTCACCAATTAGTTCATACTTAATTTAACAATATATATTATTAAACTAATAAAGGACTAATGATCAAGACAATGGAGAGATTAAGCTGATCGACATCAGCTTCCACTTGCAATAATAAATCTCTGCTTGAGTTTTTGTTTTTAATCCAAAGTTAGGCAAAAACGGATATTGATAAGATTATAATGCAATAAGAGATTAGAAGAAGCTTCATTGCTAGATTCATAGCACATACAAAAGCTATGATCATGATTAAAAGAAACCCATCAAATCTTTAATTTAAAATAACCAACCAATGAATGTGAAATAGAAGATTTGGTTGGCTGAAGAAATGGGTTTCAAGATCTTAAACCAAAAAGGAAGACGTAAATCAAAGACTTTAATCAACAAAATCTCGCATTTTTTAAAACAATTCAACTCAAGAATCCAACAAAAATCACCAAATGAATGAATACAATCATCAAAACTTTCTAAAACATTGGTTCACAAACCATCATGAACTAGCTTCTCCTTGTGTTTCTTGAGTTTGAGAATGCACAAGGGAAGGACAAGCAAAGAGATACTCTTTAAGCCGTCCCATCTCGTGAGCGACATCGAGCATGTTAGGCCTAGTTGATGGATTGTATTGAGTACATATCAATCCCAATTCAATCATTTCCAATATGACTTCCCTCCATAGCTTCTCACACCTCTCTGGTTTCCCCTGTGGTTTCCATCTGATCAATGCTTGTTTTATGATTCCCTCTAGAGAATTCGGGTAATGTGACTTCATAAACTCATGTAAACTTGATCCTTCATTCACAAGAACATCCGTTGGTCTTCTTCCGGTCACAATCTCTAGCAGGAGAACCCCAAAACTGTACACATCTCCATGGATCGATGCGCGTTTCCCCATCCCATATTCTGATGAAAAAATGAATAACAATGTTTAGAGACTAATGAGATTACTTGGTGAAACTTTAATGATGTTGAGAGAATGTGTTACCTGGCGCAATGTAACCGACTGATCCGCATAAAAATCCATCTGTTGAGCCAAATGACACTGAATCATCTGTAGAAACCGCTTCTTCGACGCCTTGAACCAATCTTGAAATGCCGAAATCAGTAACCAGAGCAGTCATTTCATCGTCAAGAAGGATATTGCTCGGTTTGAGATCACAGTGAATGACTTTGACGGGTGAATAGTGATGCAAGTAAGCTATTCCTTCCGCGACATCGCTGCAGATATTGACAAGCTGAATCAAATCCAAGTTCCTGCTCGAATACTCTTCAGGGTATAAATGCCTCTCTAGGCTTCCATTTGGCATCAATGGCAGAACAAGAGCCTTGAAACCAGGTTTGCTACATGTTGTGATGATCTTAATCAAGTTCCTGTGCCTTGTGCTCTTCAAGATCTGGCATTCTCTTTTAAAACTCCCCGAGAATTCCATTGCGGTCTTGGGATCGAGTACTTTGACCGCAATCTTCGTGTTGTTCCTCAGAACTCCCTTGTAAACATGACCAAACCTCCCTGAACCAACCAGGCTAGAATCACTGAAATCTCCTGTTGCTTCTACGAGCTGCTGATACGATATTCTAGGGTAGTTCGGGTCTTTTCGGTTCTGTTTTTCCTCGTCTTCGACCTCTTCTTCGTTGTACACAGTTAGATTCTTTCCAAATCTTGATCTGAGGACTAAAGGGTACCCGAAAACAAACAGAGCAGGAGTTGCAATCAGCGATAACAGAACCGGTAGAAGAACAGCAGAGTACTTGTGTTTCTTTTTGCAGAGTTGCATCCCTTTTATAGAGCCGCACAAGAGAGAATCTCCTAGAAAAGACTCAATAGTCAGCTTAGAGAATGATCCTTTGTCGGATACATTTCCGGAGAAAAAGTTGAAGGAGAAATTCAAGTGCTTGAGAGTAGAAGACTGCTGAAAAGAAGGCGATATAGCTCCGGTTAAACTGTTTAAAGACACATCTAGCTCTTTCAGATATGGCAATTGGCCTAATGAAGGAGGTAAAGGACCGAAGAAACCGTTCCTCGAAAGATTCAGATGCTCCAATGCAATGCAGCTTCCGAGCTGAGGCGGAATTTTCCCAGAGAATTCGTTGGAAGATAGATCAATGGAGAGAACCATATCCATTTTGCTTAGCTCCAACGGTATTGCCCCGCTTAAGTGGTTGCTAGAGAGGTTAAGATAAATCTTCAGGTTTCTGAGATTGGAGACAACTTCAACTGGAATCTTCCCTGTGAGATTGTTGTGAGAGAGATCAAGAATCTCAAGATTGATACATTTGCCGAGGCTTTGAGGGACCGTACCAGAGAGATGGTTTCCGTACAGAAGAAGTCTTCTCAGCTGAGAAAGGTTAGCGAAACTATTCGGGATTAAACCAGAGAGCTTGTTTCTAGACAAATCAAGAAGACCAAGATGAGGAATATCCCCAAGTTCCACGGGGATTTCACCGGTTAAAAGGTTATTCGAGAGATAAACCCTTTCGAGCTTGCGTAGCTTACAGAGCTCGCGAGGGATTGGACCGGTCAAGAGGTTACTCGACAAGTTTAGAAGAGTTAGGTTCGAAAGGTTTGATATCTCTGGCGGTATAGAGCCATGGATACGGTTTTGATCAAGATGAATCTGTACAAGATTCACAGAGAGGTGCCTTACGGAAGAAGGTATCACTCCTCCGAGGTGGTTTCCGGCTAACTCGAGCTCTTGTAGGTCAGAGGAATTGGCGAGAGAGGAGAAAAATGGTTCGAGGTTGGTGTTATTGTTGTGGCTAACGAAATGGTTATAAGAGAGGTAAAGAAACTGAAGCTGTGGCATCGTGCTTATGACTTGAGAAGGTAACTCTCCGGTTAACAGATTTGACTCCAAATCGATCCATTTGAGATTTGTAGAGTTTGAGAGCGAAGATGGGACATTCCCGACAAGCTTGTTCGACCAGAGAAGAAGAAACCGAAGTTCTTTGAGGTGACAATGGTTCTTTAGAGGGATTTCTCCGGTTAGAGAATTGTTAGAGAGATCAATGTATTGAAGAGACAAAGAAGAACCGTTGCAGAAGAGCTGAACCGGGATTTGACCAGTAAACCGGTTGGTTCCAAGATCGAGATAAACGAGACGGTTAAGCGAACCGAGCTCTTGTGGAATGTTTCCTTGTAAAAGATTCTCAGAGAGGCTTAGCTGCTTCAAGGTCTTATGCAATGAGCCTATCTCTGGTGGGATTTGTCCTTTGAAGAAGTTTCTTGAAAGATCAAGAACGGTTAAAGCGGTTAGATTTGCGATCGACGGTGAGATTTCGCCTCTGAGATCTCTACCGCTGATGTCAAGCTCGGTTACTCGAGTACTCTCGTTGTTACACTTCACACCAAACCAGTTACAAACATCAACT